AAATATCACAAGGATCCTCTAGAGCCCAGCAAAGACTGTATTAAAAGAATCGCGTATCTAAAGAAACTAATAAGATAGAATTATATTCGTGTACTGCGACAGGGCTGTGTAGGGCTGTTTCACCTTTGTCTTCATGTGACTCTATTCAAAAGCCATTTAGCAAAGAGGGGATGAGAAGAGTGACTAGTATACAGTACAGTACTTTAGATCTTTGTTTCTGAACCGGGGAAAATCTGATCATGTTTCTCTATAACAATAATAAAAAACATTGACACACCCGGACTGTTAAACCAACGCATTAGCACGTCAAAGCCCATTGAGGAGCAGGGCGCAATAACTGTTTTGTCCCTTGATTTAATGATCTGCATTAATAACAGAAATCAAGTTCCTGCTCTTTGCAGACGACCTGGTCCTGCTGTCGCCCACAGAACAGAGGCTGGCGCAGAACCTGGCGCTGCTGGAGCAGCACTGTCAGACCTGAGCGCTGACAGTCAATCTGGACAAGACCAGAGTTATGGTTTTCCAGAAAAAAAGCCAGACCCCCATTAGTATTCCTGAGAGTGTCGGATTATGAAAGAATAAAAGCATCTTATTAAAAATGCGTTTGACATGCTAATGCGTTGGTTTAACAGTCCGAGTGTGGCAATGTTTTTTATTATTGTTATAGAGAAACATGATCAGATTTTCCCCGGTTCAGAAACAAAGATCTAAAGTACTGTACTGTATACTACTTTGTCACTCTTCTCATCCCCTCTTTGATAAATGGCTTTTGAATAGAGTCACATGAAGACATAGATGAAACAGCCCTACACAGCCCTGTCGCAGTACACGAATATAATTATATCTCATTAATTTCTTTAGATACGGGATTCTTTTAATACAGTCTTTGCTGTGCTTTAGAGGATCTTTGTGATATTTCGAGCTCTGGTTGAATGATAAGTGTTGCAGTTTATATAATTTTCGTAATTAGAAATTATGGAAAGCTCTGTTAAAAGCAAGGGAGTTTTAATGTCCGTTGGAGTTCTTTTGCAACATGAATATAATTATATTGTTATTAATTTCTTTAGATACACGATTCCATATTATA